GTATTTGCATGCCCACAACTACAGAAGACGAGACCTAGTTCTGTAATCGAGACAAAGAAATAGGCTCGCAGTTTTCCTTTAAAAAGTAGGCCTATGTTCACCGTTTCAGGATATACTCGGTCTCTCACACATGGGGATATTAAGTTGGCGAAAGTGTAAAATTACTAGAAACAAACTTCCAAAATTTGACTCTTGCAGTTCGAGCATTTGACGGTATTCTTTAGCACCTTGGCTCGGACGCTTGTGGGAAGTCCTAATTTAAAACTAACTTATCTTGGGATGAGCATAGCCCTTCAAAAGTTTCAAGTAAGGCTTAGGGTTGGAAGCTTAGTCACGACGTAGTAGAGCAACCACACCACTTCAAAGTTCACCCGTGAGTGCCCCGGCGACTCGGTCAGGGAAGAGCGAGAACATGGAAAGCACTGCCCGAGCACCGTGACGAGACGTCTCTACCCGCGGAGATCGCCATTAGATGAACACGGATGCGATTCCAATCATGCATGCGACGCATTGGAGCAGAACTCCAAAGGATATCGTGCATTCTCATCATCTGGTCCTTCAATTCTGTGATTCGAGCTACGTCTCAATTCACACCAGTCGCTCTTTCTTCGCTTTCAGTTATAGCCATCTGACTTTCAACCATGAGTTCAAACCGGGCATTCCCTTTGGCTCGGCAGTCCTCTCGCTGTACTGTAAAATCATGAATTTCGCTTGACTAGTCGGTCATGACCAGGATAGCGACAGGTTAAAGTCTTTTTTAGTTATCCCATGTTGGAGGAAATGGAAATTTCAGACTCGTTGACCCTCATTTCGTATGCAGCTTTCTCGGAGACGAGCCCCTTCTTTTGGTCCTGAAAGTCGGCTTTGATACTAACATCATTCAGGTGCTAACTCCACGTGAAAGCAATTTTCTCGCAGCAAAAGTTCTGTAATCCTCATTCTCGTGAAGCCGAAAATGGCGAGGAGTTTTCATGGACCAGTACTGTCAGCACCGTAATGTCGTTATCGTCTAGCTGTTCAGGGACCGTTATGGAGACCATACGAGGGAAAAGATTGCGTCATTTGGAAGTAAGGATCTACATCTGTGTTCCTATTTTCGATGTCATAAAATTTATTATGTACTCCGCAAACATGCACATGCGAAGGTGCAAACATTGGAGTTTGCTCTACACCACTCCTGTGAAGAATTCTCCGCGATTACCGATGGTTGTGTCTAGCCTGACAGTGGCGTGCCGAGTAGTCTTGGCATTTGAGGCAGCAGAGCCGTACCGAGGATATTTGGCGCCCTGTGCGAGATATCAGCACAGCGCCCACCGATCTCAATACCTCTCCAGCTTCCCCAGCACAAACAATACATTACGTATTAATTTCTATGTTTAATTTAGTTAAATTCAGGATAATTTGCAATTAAAAAAAAAGTTTTATTCATATTTTGTAGTGGTTAGGCAGCCAATCAGCGCCCCCTCAGTTCGGCGCCCTGTGCGGGGGCACCGCTGGCACATCCCTTGTTACGGCACTGTAAGGCAGTCCAGCCTCAATGGCACCCAGTCCACTCCCAAGGGTACCCAGTGCAGTCCCAATGGTACCCAGTCCACCATTGAACTTCTAGAGCTTTTGGGGCAGGGATTCTCATCACACTTGTTTCGGAATTCCGCATTTCTTCGGCGCTTTTTGTCTTCATTCCAGGAAGGTCCCAAGCCGAACTAACGGCGTTGGAGAACGCAAACGCTCGTTCGTAAATCAAAGGCTGGTAAATCCAGCCAATGACGGTGGAATTCTTTTTCTCTTGCGCAATCCCCCCATGGATTTCGTCATTAGACTCTTTCGGATCGGCTGCCACCGCTCCAGTCATTCTGGTTCTTCTTGAAATACGAGTTTCATCCTTGTTATCCCGCCCTGTTAAGTAAAAATAATAATAATTACGAAAACATACAAACTCTTCGAGTTCCGCGGTTTCTCATCTACCTGGAGTCAAAATCTCTTTGGCTTCGTCCACACGAAAGGAATGAACTTGTCATAATTAATTTTAAATTTAAAAAGTGTCTCAGTGCTGCTTGCAGCAAAGGTACAAAGTGCAATTATTATTATTATTTTTTAAAATTACACTTTTGGAAACTTTGCAAATGAAGATACTGCTTCCGTAGGCATTTTTATTTTACTCCGGTGGCCCAACGTATTATCAGAATCGTATCCGAGCCAGGATTTTCCCTAACCTGTTCCTTGGGGCTGGCGTGCAATTGGGCCTTGACATGCTCCAGTTCACTATCTGTCTCAGTATCATGTCTACCGGTCACTCTCATTCATCTGAAGTGTCCCAGTGGTAAGTATGCAGGCATATCACCTTTTCATAGCTCTCTGGTGTTTCTTCCTCTTCAAGGCCGAGGTATGACTTAATTTTTCTCGTAATTATTTATGCCCTCCGGAGCACGTAAAGCCAATTACCACTCGTTGCACTGACTCTTCACGTTTTACTTTTGATCATAGATTCTAATCCAAGAAGGGTTTATACTTCTAGGGAGAGCCGCAGAGGAGTCGCCGTGAACGTGAGTTGTGTTGCATCTATGAGACGTTGAATTATTTTAAATCTAGTCGATTCTGCTAGGAAACTTGGAGCTGCTATGCCTTCGACACTTAAGAACACTTCATCAAATTTCACGCAGAAATTAGGAAAATGACTTGTAATGTTCCCTCTCTGGCCAGACCCTCGTCCGGTGTCCGTCATGGTGTGGCTGTATGATCCATATTCACGAAAATCCATGAAAAGTGAAGAAAAATTCCTAACTTGACAAAACTTTACAGCTTGCGTAACTTACGTTTATGATAGTTGGGCTCTACAAAGCTAGCCGGACATTGCAGGGAAAAGGGCATTTTGACTGGATCTTTATTTTCGCGATACGATCGAACATGAATGAATACCCTTTCGAGTTGAATTAGAACTACAAGATATTCCATCAAAGTTCGGGCGTTATTTAAGGGCTGATATCCAACATTTGGCGTCATGATGCGATGTCGTTGTTTCTGCCTAGTGGCTTCAGCATAGAAACAAAAATCACGTAAGGAAAATATAATTTAAAAAACTGGCGAAAGATCAGCTCAACCTTCATCGAGGGCACCGTCAGAGACAGCGCGGACAAACGCGGACGACGTGTTTTTGTGGGTGGTTTTGTGGGTGGTTGGGAGAAGGAACGACTCGCGCTATCTTACTGTTGGAATGAGCTATTTTTGTGTTTGAAGTTTGTTCATGACGGAAAAGTTTCAGAATCAAATGTATCCAAATTCTAAAGGTGCTGTAAAAATTCGGAAAATGTTTGAGCTGTAGTATTCACACAAACTTTGACGAAATCCTGTCTGAGAGACACCAAAACAAATTACATAAACAGCCCCATTTCTGTTCCAAAAGGAACAAGACTTCCTAAAAGGAAATAATTCAATCAACAGAAAGCGAAATGGACCTCACGGTATACAAGATGCAACGAAAGTCAGGAATCATGAGGACAGGAGAACGGGACATGGATTATTTCCTGCCTAAACTTTTTGCAACTCACTCGCCTACTTGATACGATATTGTAATGCTATGGTTATGATCACAAAATCTTGTCCAAATGACCAGGTCAATTCCAGTCCAAGGATCTGATCCTGATTAACCGATTAACCAAAATTGAGCCTAATTATCCCAGAGTGACCCGATTTAACCAAAATTGACCTAAAAGGACCAGAATAAATTCAGGGGGACGCTAATTGAGCCTGATTTTCTTGAAATTATGCAAGGTGACCAAAATTGACTCACCCACTCGCCACAGATATCCAGAGGATAATTAAGCTCAAATCGGGTCAATGTGTCCCTTTTGTTCACTTGGACTACATTTTGACTGAGACAGCTTCGGCATTACAGTGCCTGACATTAAATCAGTTAGGTGGGTAAGTTCCGAACCCTCTAGGCGGGATATAATCCATATACACTGTAATCCTCTGATGTCAGACATTTGTTACACCCTGTATAGCAGAAAAAAAAAATCTATCTAGCGCTGTCGTTGACGGGGAGACAGGAGCCATGCGTGACGGTTCGAGGACTGGAACAAGGGGAATATTTAGACATCAGCGCCCCTCCCGGAGATGTCCGGAATCCCGTCACCTTCTGCAGATACCATCTCGCCGTGAGTCCATCTCTGTGATTTTACTTTCAACTTCCTATTTAGACTTAAGGTTTCCCAGTCCTGCATCTCGTATGCTAAACGTTTTCAGCCGAAATCCATTGATCGAACTTCCAATCTTACTAATCTAAACTTCAAAATCTACTGCATTTTAAACTCCCACGCTCTAGAGAAGATTAATCAAAGGACTGAAGACTAGGGCCTTCGCCTCCCTCGTTAATTGGAAGGGAGAGGCTTTCACAAGGAAATCCATGAATCTTCTGGAATACCTAGTACACCTCAGATCGTTGATAATACAAGAACTCGCCCAGGAAAAATGGCTTGTAAATTGATTCTAGGGGTCGAATTATACGGATATTCATGGCATGCAACCTTGTGCAGCAAGAAACGAGAAAAATACCTCCATGTTCACTATATTGCCAGGTCAAGGTCCACTCTTGCAAATGATGATTGACGTAGCATGACGTCATTGCGTGACACAACAACCACGTGACGGTACAGTCATTAAAAACAAACACTTCTATGGGAATGAAGCTGCTGAGTTTCGTAAGAAACAGTTGTAAGCTTCGCAATTAAATCTAGATCTGCTGATAGAATTTTAGGTCACACGGGAGAGAGGTCATTTGAATCTAAAAAGAAATGCACCGTTTCATGAGAGCAGTTCATTTATAAACGCGTTTAAAAAAGACCCCGTATGCACTGTATGAAAATTTGATTTTCATAATAGGATTCAATTATGGAAATGTTTTCCTCTTCTGTTACCCCAGTGCCCAGTTAACCTGAGGATCTCATGCACTAAGGTTCGGATTCCAGGTTCTCCACGGTGTAGACGCGCCAATTTCATCATTAATGGCGTGAGGTAAAAGAAAAAAAAATTTTTGCCATTTTGCAATCCCGATTGTCCGTAGAATACAGAGAAACCCTGTCTTCAGGACGTGCGGGAAGGAAGAGGCCCTGATGACGTCTCGCAAAGTCGGTAGGACGTTGGACGCCTTCCTCTACAGTTTCTTCTCTCGGTCTCAACCTGAACTTCAGTGCACTGTCACGTGCGGTCAGTTGTTCGCTGTCTGGGGGCGTTGGGTGTCAGCTCGAGTTCAGTCGAGTGGATGTTGATCATAATTTTCTTTCGTGAAAGGGAGGAGGAAGGAAAGACCGACATTCGACAGACCTGACCCGGCAATTCCTAGTTCAGGAAGTTTAGGAACTAACTTTCAATGCAGTGAGTGTGCAATATTTCCCAACTTTTTAAACTTCTTTTTCTTCAAATATTTACTGTCCGCATTTCCAATGGCAGTGGCCAGTCATATTTTGTTCGCTACAAGTGGAATAGTTGGTACAAATGAAAGTCGTCCGAAGTATTGCCGTGATCTAGTACGATTATTTCAGCATGCGGGGTCTCACCATCTCTGCGCACTGGGAAACCCGTCTCGCCACCAGAAGGAAACATCACCGCAGTTAAGGAAAGCCTGACGAGGATCGTTGGAGGGAGGGAAGTGGAGTTCGAAGGGAAATACCCATGGATGGCCCTCATGCGTGTTCGTGGTCATGCTACTTGTGGCGGGGCCCTCATCAACGACCGATACATCCTCACTGCTGCTCATTGTATCAGGTATGTGTGTTGAAATCACGATACTAGCGTTGTGTTCGTCATCACAATGTTTTCTCGACACCTGTCGTCGGGGATTCATATAGAAATGCGAAGATCGATAACCTTCGCATCCTCTTGGGGGAGCATGATTTGATCTCGTCGAGTGACGGGATCTCATTGAAAGTGTCAAGGGTGATCGATCACCCTGGATACGACCGAGAAGACACACGAGACCACGACATCGGCCTGCTAGAATTAGAGGAACCTGTGGATTTCTCAATGCACCCTAGCATTCGCCCCATCTGCCTACCTCGGCTTGGACGCTCTCTAAGCAACGCAAGAGCCGTCATTGCAGGCTGGGGAACAACCAGATACGGTGAGTCTCCTCGGTTGGAAAAAAAAAGGGAGGGGGGGACTTGAGTGGTGAAAATTGGTAGGTGGACGTGTGGTGGTATGTCCGCAACAGTCAATACTGGCTGTTGAGTGCTATGGAATAATAGCTTATAATAATAGCTGGGAGAAATAGCTTCCACTTCTTCCCCTAAAAAGTCCGGTTTCACTACTGTAATGCCGCCACTCTCACTCTTTAGATGCAGTTCTTTCTTACCGGGAAAAATTTCCTTTTCTGCGAATTTCCAGAGGAGCAAACTTTTTTTCAATAAGATATACTTCATTTCAAGAGATATACTCTCACTTCTGGACTAAAATCGAAAACAGTTGAGTTAAGCTATTCTCTCGTCGCCAAGCGAAAGCAGGATAACATGTTTCGCCTTTTTTGATGAATGTATAGGGATTTACGAAAACTCCCCCCCCCCCTCTAGCCGAACAGTATGATGGTGAAGCGAAATTGTTTTCATTTCTGAATTAAATTGTGAATTTTACATTTACAGACTACCTCACCATGCGACTATATGACTCACTATGTGCGTGCCCACCACCAGCCTTAACGGCTTGAATTTGAGATGGTCCTTGTCCTTGGAAAGCGCCACTTGATTTTGTGTTATTTTGGTCGAACATGCTATCCTATTTCTGTAGGAACCTGAGAAAGTCCTTGATACTGACCAAGTGATACTTCTTCATGAACATGCCCTTTGCTTCAAGGCCTTCATTTATTAGTAGTTTCTGAAAAACATCAAAGTCTATTTCTTCAGCAACAAAGAATGTCCACGGAATTCCTCTGAAATCCGTGTCGGTGAAAACACAGGTTCAATGTCGAAAGATGATGTTGAAGATCTGATGATCTGTGGGCCTCTTGGGTTAAAGTTTTCCGGAGATTGCTTTTGGAACATATTGCAACAGCTCTTCGAGCCTTCAAGTTAGACACCAACATCTTCCAAAATTTTCTGCAGTCATATCCATTTCGACTTCTAGCTGTCATCAAGGCCAGTGGTGAGCTCACACAATACTGAGATTTAACTTGTAATTTAACTGGTAAATGGAGAATTGAAATCAAGAGTAAGAATGAGATTTGCGATGAGGCGATGAATGCCCTTTTAGTGGCAGGAGGCGTACTGGACTGCCGCTAAAAAGAGGGGGCCAACTTGTTTCCCCCCCCCCCCTCCTTCCTTTCCTGCATTCTGACAATGGAAGAGAATTCGTTGGTGCCTAATGCACGTGTGAATTTCAATAACTTTTTTCCAATTTGAAACAGACCAGTGATATATTTTCCAATGGGAATTTCTTACTTCTTCCTAAAGTCTCGTGTCACGGAAATGTATACAGGAACACGGAAACGGAATACAGCAAATTCATAGGTGCACGTGAGTCCAGAATCCTCCAAAGAAAAGAATATAGGATGACTTCAGAAGTTCATGCGAACTTATAGTGAAACAACGAGAATGGAGCAACAGCCCTTGAGAGAATGACAGAATGGAATTAGGACTGGCAGTCAAGTCCTCTTGCCATTCCTTACCAGATCGAGTGACGGGGAAAATCTTCCTGTGTCCACAGGAGGGAAAGCTGCAACAGTGATAAGAGAGGGTCGAGTGTCCATATTGAGCAGTTCTGGATGTCGAAGAAGCTATAAGGATACCGAAATCACCGAAAACATGCTATGTGCTGCTGCACCTGGCATAGATTCTTGCCAGGTGAAATATTTTATTTCATACCTAAAATCACTTCCGGGAACGTGGTGTACTTCAGAAGAAAGGCTTCCGTCAGTCAGCTTCATTTTTTGTTAGAATGCGGTATGAAATCGTACAATAAAATCCATAAAAATGGATCCTGCCGAAAAAAAAATTGCTCGTGGATACCCGGACAAGTATCCAGAATGATTTCCCTTCGTATTTCCAACCATAAAAAATTTGGGAGAGTGCATAACGGAACTTTTTCGCTCTGAAGCAAACCACGTGAGAATAGAATGGAATGGGATCGTCAAGATAAGGTTTCATGCAACAGGGCGATTCTGGAGGACCACTGGCAGTAAGGAATTCTGAAGGGTATTTCGAACATGTGGGGATCGTGTCTTGGGGCAGAAGCTGCGCCGATCCCGAATTTCCCGGAGTTTACACCAAGACCGCCAGTCTGTTTTCCTTGTTTCTCTTTCTTTTTTCTTCTTAAAGGGAAATTGATTCATTTATCTTCTTATTTCCCCATTTTTTCTATCTGCATATAGTTTTTTCAGTTTCTTCATTAAAAAAACATAGTATTTTCCATTCAGCAGCATTGAACATGTCCACCGCGTAGAAATAGGCATTAGAAACACTTTTGATCTGTTTCAGATTACGTGGAAAACTTCATCGAGGAGAACACGCGAAATGCAGAGTGGTGTTCGGTCCCGGGACGCAATCGGATTCCGAAAGATGAAGGGAGAAGTCGTCCAAGATCCACGCGTTAATGAGGAGAAACGAACACCGATTGCTTTTTATCACTACAGAGTCGGTTGGGGCATTCACGCGGCGGTGAAATGTTTCCTCAAGAATCCTACTGTCATAGATGAGGAATACATTAACTGCAACTTATTGTTTTAGATATTTTTCTCGCTTTTAATCACTTCGAGTGGAAAACATGGAGTCTTTACCATTGACTTTATTCTTTCTTTTTATTGCTAGGAACGTTCCTGTCGGAACTGTAGAGCTAGGGCAGGGATTGAAACTGAAACTAAAGGAATAGCAGCGTATGGTGAGGAATCTCCCTCGACAACGTCTGCATCAACTTCAAGAAAGAGAGGTCCTGGGCAGTAGCTGAGTAAAAGGAAAGGAGTACTGTTTCTAATTCTTTTTAAAAATAAAAGACATAAAAAGTGGAATTTTGTGATGTGACTTTTGTGCCATTCATGGTCTTCATATGATGGCCGATATCGATCTTGAAATCAAACGGTTTACGCGATGTCGTATCAAGTACTACGTATCATCCCCTAATTCTCATAATAACTTTGGTGATCTCAAATTGATGCTTCTGTTTATTTTCATTTTTACCCTTCTTGCGCTCTTGTAGAAGAGGCTCCTCGATGTATAATATATGTAATAATAAATGTATACTAAAGAACATGCGAAACTTTCTGCTTTTCCAAGACAATTTCACCTTTTCTATATGATGATAATCGTATATGCACACCAATAAGCGAAATGTTTTGTTTTCTCTACCATGTCATCCATGTGGCAAACCTATGGTTGATTTCAAAGAGGCAGTCCGGTTTCAGTTCAGTTCCAGTTCAGTTCAGCTACAGTTTCAGCAACAGTTACAGTAGGGTTTTTCGTTCGAGAATAGTTGAAATGTGCCATTTGAACCCAAGTTTGACCACAATTGTGAGAATCTGTGTTGACTCCACGTCCTATCGTACTCAGACTTCAATCTGACCAGAGTGAGACTATGGTTCCAACCGATCAGTTTCTCTGAAGCCACTATTCTGTCATGGCACCAAGAGAAAACGAATTAGAACCACCTTTAGGTAACTGTCTCAAGGGGAAAGGCAAGGTAATAAAAACATATCTGTCTTGCTTTCTTCTTCCTCAGAGTTGAAGTTGGTGCTGCTTTGCTTACCTTCCCATGCATTGGGTTGGAAAATAGGTCTTGCAACACATTCTAAAACTATTTGTAAAAAATTTTTCAAAGGAATGATGGGCGGGGCTTTGCATTTGTATATGCAGGAATGTTCTCGAAGCTTCTGCCCTCGGGGTATAAAAGGCGGCTTCTGCCATTAGTTGGCAGCCATGGCTCCGATCGAACGAGCAACTCTTCGCCCCATCGTCTAG